AATAAAATAATAAACTTTGATTTCTGACTATTTTCTTTTATCTAAATGCGTGGGTAAAAGCCAATACCATACGTTCTTCCTAATAACCAGTCTGTTTGGTCCAAAATACTACAAAGCAACAATACAAATTCTCTGATCAAAACCTAAATGCATATATTTATGTCCATACACTTCCTGACAACAGCTCTGCAACTTGTTTCCTCCTCATCACATCAGCCCAGAAAATGAAAAGGCTTTCAATAATCTTAATTTGACCAACAATATGAAAGTTGGGATAAATTAGAATATTCCTAAAATCCATTATTCTGTAATTGCTGTAGAAGTAAAGTATAACAAACAATGGACTTCCATGATTCTTTGCTCCCCTCACATTAAAGAGCTCAACACTAGTTATAATGTTTTTTTTTCATCAATACTCGGATCGTTTGAGATGTTTGAAGACAACAGACACCCCCCTGAGGAAATCCAGCTTTGTGTAAGAAAGTAATATATTTACAAAACATACCAATCATTAAGAACATTTCAAATTCAATAAATGAAAGTTTGTCAGCACCGGTCTTTAAAAAAGCATCTCCTGTGAGTCAAACATTCATTACCACTATAAAATCACCCACTTTAAAAAAGACAAAAAAAAAAATCGGCTCACAGAAAACGCTCTGACCATAGAAGTTCTGACACAAACGGACACATTTTTCCAGTAAACCAATTATAAACCGCTTAAATACACCCAGAGAAAACCATATACTTTATTCTAGGATATTATACATTATAAGATTTAAAAGGTCCCAATGTTACGCCTCGCCATTTCTATGCTGTACAACATCATTAAAGTGCCAGCTTTCCTTTGTGCACATGTCAAGCGATTATATTTCATTGAATCCCTCGAGCTTTAAATAGCGAGGCCAATCTTTGCTCTTTTCATTCTCGCGGGCGCATCAAAGCTATGGTTATCACACTTTGACGTGAAACCCACTTCGTGACGGCACCGCGCTGGAGAAACCCATCCTCCAGGAGGGCGGCTCAGCCGTGACAGACCGGAGGGAGAAATCCAAAAACAGAGACAGTTAGCGAATGTTCTACCACAGTCCTCCTGTTGGCTTCACTTGCTGTCGCCTGCTCAAGTGCTCACTTTAAAATATAGCGATATGTCATAAAAAGCGCAGTCATCGTCCACTTTGGAGAACATGTGATTTTGGGTCTAGAATATGCTGACCAAAGCAGGCAAATTGTGGCGGGACTATCTGTCACAAGAGATTCTACCACTGAACATCGGAGACGCATCTGTCTCTGAAAGCGACCACTTCAACACACAGGCTTCCAGTAGCACCGGGTACTATGACACCTGGTGTTTTTCCGGCAATGCAAAGACGCTAACGAGGCGCTACAAGATCTGGAAGTAAAAGTAGCTTAACAACTCGCCCCCGTAAGACCACTGTTACGCTGAAATTAATCAGGGTCTCGATTTCTGGTTCGAGGTCAGAGCTGCTTTTCACTGCATACGTCTCAGGTATGGACGACATGAGAGAAGAGCAACAAATGGGACCTTGTAAGACGAATAACCCAGTCGACACAACATCAAAAAAAACGTCTTTGGACCCGTACAGAGCTGACACTGAAAGTCTTGGTGGATTGCTTCCAAGGTTCACGGCTATGCACAGAGTCAACAGCAAATGTGTGCTGGCTTTCTTGTTGTGAACAGTTTTATTTATGTTGCGCGCCGCCAACAGCTCGGCAGGTTGCGAACATAAAACAACCGCGATCCTTCGTTGCCCGTGGCACCACTCTGTCCGTTAAAAAACACAGACCCCGCCCGTCCTGCAGGCATCTCGTGTGGAGACCACTTGTATCCGTGCACGTCCATCTCCTGCCAGATAAATACGGAAAACAATATGCATCCGATATAAACGGTACAATTGGGTTGTTTTGTCCTCTTTTTTCTGTGGTGCAGCGACGCACACAAACCTCATAATGTTACCAGAGAGACTCGTGGAAGTAGAAGGACCGGCTGTTCTTTTGGGGCAGTCCTCCTTCACTCAACACGCATGACACTGCAGCGAGCCAGGCTCCGACCGCGCATGGTGCCAGCCACAGAACTGAAACAGAGATGATTATTAGTATTAGTATGCGGATTAGTAGTCGCGTTTGTATAAAGCAGAAGTAAACAGTTTTTTGGTCCTCTGTCATCTCTACACCTTTTTCACGCACGGAAGCTGCGGGATTGTCTGTCACCATTTTCTGTTCCAAGAGTGTTTAGAGGAAGTGGACGCAGAATGATTCGGTGCGAGGGCTTCATCAGACTGGAATAAACTCCCCCCATCCACTACGCGTCTTTTGGTTCTTTGTAATTATTTACTCCTTGCTTAATGTCACTAAAGTTTCTGTATTCTGTGTCAGGTGTCAATTATCGTCAATAGTTTGTACTTTGAGAGTGGTTTAATTTGTTATTATTCGAATTTTTAAAGTTTTCGACATTCTAAACTGTATTCCCAAACGCTCAGTAAATTGTTTTGTCTGTTCTGTGTGTGGTGTGATTACCAATGTTTGTCAGCATCAAAAACAGACTCAGTTTCATTATGTAGAAGAAGGTGCACTGAGTTTCTAGGGTCCTTTATCTATTATTGCTATTTGTATAATTTATACAATCACCACAGACATCGTTGTTTCTCCTGCTTTGATTTTCAATGATGTATACTGTTGTGTAACTAGAAGTTTTAGTGTGCAGTATCTTTGAAAACGTGTTATAACAATGTGCTCCTATCCCATCCCGTGGCTTGGGATTTGAAACAAGAGTGGTACAATGTCGAGTCACTTACGCGGTGTCCATTGATCTGAATAGAAAAACCACCATTATTAGAAACCGATAAAAGGTGAATACTGTGTCCCATGTGCACGCCCTCATAAATTCTCTAAGTCCACCCGAAAATATTGAGCCTTTAATCTGTCCTTATTTGCTGCATATCACAACCCCAAACAAATATTTCTGTTTAAATTACCTTTCGACCAAACAAGCCTATACCCAATATATATATATAATATATATCTACCTGATATCGAAATACTCTATATACTATTAACTATATCTATAGAGCAGTACCTTGACACTGTCTATTGATGGGGCTTTACTGTATCCCATCTGGTCCAGATACCAGGCTGGTGGACGGGCCACCCAGGAGTGGCCTGCCCTGTAGGGAAGGCTGCAGAGCGGACCCTGCTGAGGGCCTCTCCGCAGCACTCTAGCCCCCCCCGCCACCCGCATCCGTCGCCCTGTAGCCGTGGATCGCCTGTGGGAAACACAGCCGCGTTTCCATACGAGCATGGCCAAAGGACAAATGTTGACACTACAAACAGAAAGCAAAGTCCAGAAGGAAGAGCTAACCCACAACATTACGGTCATATTGTTTAACAAACTTACCACACTTTATATCTAGTTTCGCAGCAGTGACCTGAAAATCCAAACCCCCTGCTGAGCCTCCATGTTGCGTAAGCTGTGTCCATGCGTGAAAACAACACAAACACACAGTGTCGTTGCTTAACATGTTTCTCTATTTACTATTACCTTCTAGTATTCGTTCATTGAGTGACTGCCTGCAAACCTATAGTAACTCACTCATCGTTATGCAAGCACCTATTTGATTCTTGTAGTTTTGCTTCCGAATTTCTATCTTCGGCGGGTGGGTTCAACAGCGAATAAGGACACATTATTTCGATGTTTTCACCTTAGAATCTAAATCAGAATTATAGTTTACGAAAAAAAAACTGGCAAACATGAATAAAATCACCTTTTAAACTAAAAACAACCCAGAATAACGATGGTATTAACAGATTTTTTCGTATTTCCCCCACTTCATTCTTGCCATGTCAACGTGTAAATGGACAAAACATCTCAGTACAATAGTATTAATCTATTTAATATTTATGTACTATAAAAGGGTTAAGTTAAGAGCGCTTATTCTATTGGCTCAATCTTTCTTCTAATATGATCAAATGCACAAGACTTCTTACGGTAATTTAGACTATTTATATCAAAACTTTCAGTACTTTCAATAAAAAATATGCAGAAAAAACGTAAACTCCCCCATTTTCCCAAACAATACTCTAAATAATAATCTAAGTACCAGACATGAACAATATCAAGTCTAAAAATGCCGTCATAATTTGCGCATACAATTTTGAATAGCTCATGTGTGGTGAAGTCCCGTACTTTTCCACATCAAAGGGAATTACACTAGAATATGATTTACACAATTCTAGAAACACCCCAACATTCTGTCTTACATTGTCCCAGTGGTCAAACTCACATTGTCCCAGTGGTCAAACTCACATTGGCCCAGTGGTCAAACTCACATTGTCCCAGTGGTCAAACTCACATTGTCCGAGTGGTCAAACTCACATTGGCCCAGTGGTCAAACTCACATTGTCCGAGTGGTCAAACTCACATTGGCCCAGTGGTCAAACTCACATTGGCCCAGTGGTCAAACTCACATTGTCCCAGTGGTCAAACTCACATTGTCCGAGTGGTCAAACTCACATTGGCCCAGTGGTCAAATTGGCCCAGTGGTCAAACTCACATTGCCCCAGTGGTCAAACTCACATTGCCCCAGTGGTCAAACTCACATTGGCCCAGTGGTCAAACTCACATTGCCCCAGTGGTCAAACTCACATTGCCCCAGTGGTCAAACTCACATTGGCCCAGTGGTCAAACTCACATTGCCCCAGTGGTCAAACTCACATTGTCCCAGTGGTCAAACTCACATTGTCCCAGTGGTCAAACTCACATTGTCCCAGTGGTCAAACTCGTAGCGTTTCCTCTTCAGCCCTGGCTCCAGCTCCTTCACCAGAGCAGCTTCCTCCTGCTCCGTGATGAAGTTGGGCCTCACTTCCACCTGTGACAAACATGTAGATTAGAAAGTCAGTTTAACAGGAATGCCTCAAAACTCTCTGATCGTATGGCACATGCAAGATTCCTGGACCAAAGTCAGCTTCATGAATATCTAATGGCTTCGCTTATAATAATCTACACAGGATTAGATTGCGTTTGTGTTCTGAAATTCTGTTTCAGTTGGAGGGTGAAGTTGGTCAATCTGAAAGACAGACCAAAGACTAAAAACATGCACAATAGATCTGAATGTAGATGAGAGTGAATGGATGGTGTTGGGTCAGAGGCTTTGATGGTCCAGTGTGTTCTGGACTCGCTTCTGTCATCACCGTGTGTGGAAGGATTGGAACAATATCTGAACTCTGAACATTGTAAAGGGCTTTGGGTCTGTACCTTGGTCTGTAAAATGCGCTATATAAATAAACATTACTTCAGAATCAGAATCAGAATCATTTTTATTGCCACGTGAGTAACAAAGTTACCACTTGGAAATTGTCTTGGCAGAGAGCGTGCCACTTCGCCATTTGCGGCGCTGTGTGCAGCAAGAAACAGCAGAGAGCAATAACATACAGTTCACAGACAATTGGATAGACACATTGTGCTTTTTATAAACCACGGATTTTTTTCTCGGGATGAGCACCTCCGGCGGCCGGCCCAATGTAGCTGTCAGAGGGGGGCGGGATCAGGGAGGGGGTGAGTAGGAAAACAATGAGGAATGGAGGGGAGGGAGGGAGCAAGATGGATAGGTAGAGGGAGGCGGGGGTGAGGGATCCTTGCTGGAGACTGAAATAGTGTGAGTTGTTGTAGATTGTGGGACCTTGTTTATGGCCTTGGTCGAGGAATGTGAGATAAGAGTGGAGAGAAGGCACAGGAGGAGAAAACACATCGCCTGAGAGGGACAATATTGTATGCAATGTAGCAGTCAAAAGCAGGCAGATATTCTATTAATTCCAATTAAACCGAATTACGGCGCCCTCAGACCTCCGTACACAGGGGCAAATCCAAGCCGGGTCAGAGAGTTCAAGCCTGGCAAACGATGTCATTCAATCTCAATTCCAGAGTTTTATGCCCATCAAGTGAACGAGCTGCGAGATCTTTGATCAACTGCTCCACCAACACCACTCTCCTTTGTCCAGCCACAGCGCTCTCAACCACGACGCGGCTAAGCTCCTTGTACATCCCATCAATTTTGTCGGCCAGCAGGTCGTGAATCTTGCGAACTGCCATGCCTCCGAATTTGTGGTAGAAGAGGATCGCTCCAAACCCAAACAGGAGGATTCCCACCACCAAAATGCCAAAGATATATACGTCTTCCGAATCTTCAATGGACAGGGTCGACAGACAGAGGGGCTGAAACTTGTTCCAGCTGTCAAGAGTATACCCCGCAGGTGAAGTCCCGTCCGGGCACACGGGCTCTCCAGACCCACGCTTACGTGTTGAAAAGATAGAATCAATTGCGTTGAGGGACCAGTTAATCATTTCCATTCTGTTAAAGTTGTCTGTGGCAAAACTCCAGGAAAAAAGACAAAAACAGGAGATAGCAAGCCGTTCAGAAGCAGGAGCGGACTAAGACACGTCTTTGCTCGACGGAGGAGGAAGTGAGAGTGTCTCTTACTTACAAAGATAGAACTTAAAAGCATTTTAACAGACATTTTAAGTATTGCCTTTAAAACATTAATAATTTTGTGTAATGTCACCAAATATAACTTTTATTTTTCATCAACAATGTATGTCCTTTGTCCCAACAGAAAGTGTGTTGTGAAAGTAAAAGGGTTGAGAACGAATCAGAGAACATGTTATATTGTACATAATACTTGAACAAAACACCATTTAAAAGAAAAAAGAAAGCTATTGGAGTCACAATTTGACGCTTTGGGATGAGAGCTGATTGGCTGAGGGTGGGTCATCCTCTGTTTTAGTTTTACAGTCTATGGTTTTAGTCTAAAAAAAGCAAATTTAAAGAAGTGACCTTGGCCAATTAACACATACACGTTACTGATACATAAACTAGTGCAGACTCAGGTTATGTGTCATCTCTATAACCATAATGTTAAATGCAGGACACTCATAACATTAAACAACTTAAGCAGAAAAGATAAGTGCATCAGTAAAGCAGACATGACCCGCACCTGTGATCCGAGCTGCTGCAGGAGGCGCGGGTTCGATCCCCGGACCAGCGCTGACTCGTCCTCAGGAGCTAGCTTACTGTTAGCAACACACAGCTTCCGACATGAAAATGCACCCGGTCTTTGCTCTAAACATCTAAAAACGCCCAACAATACACGCATTGTCGTTTTGCAAAGAAAATAAACAGATGTCACGGTGTACTTTTGACGACTCGAGGCGAAATGTTTAACTTTGACAAGCTAACAGCACCGATGAAAGCGCACGAGCGACATGTTGGGCGCACTGCTTTCTGGGTAATGTAGTTGAAGCACAAGGACAAGGGATTGTTGGATTTACAAGGATACAATAATTGAGAAACAGCTGATAAAAGCTCACGTTTTGAATACTTTGGTCAATAATTGCTCCCCATAAATATATTAGTTTCTACGTCTTCTCCCTGTTGCGTATTTATCGATTAAATGTGGCCATTTGAGTGGAATGTTGACGTAATGCTTTTCGTGTCGTGGTTGCAGTGCTTCAGAATGACCACCAGGGGGAAGCAGACATTTACATTTCCCTCTGAAGCCACGTGGATCAGCATCTTTTCAGGTAAACGTTGTATTTTTAACTCGTCTTAATGTGTTCGAATGAGTTAAAGGAGTCTTGTAAGTTTTCTAAGTTAAACACTGTGGAGCATTTTATGTCTCTGTGATACTGTGATGCTGCTTTGGGTGAAACTTGATAAAGCTCATACTGTTGGTGGAGTGGATTAATCTCCATTCATCCATTTTCAAGCTCTTGATCCAATTTTGGTTTGAGGGTTGCCCATCAGAGCTGCCAATTCAGAGCACCAGCCTCTCACTGATCCTCCTGCAGGTGGTAGGTCCACAGGAGGATGTCTCTGAATGACTTTGGTCTTTTAACGGGGGCTTCATGTAAAGTGGGATTAAGTGTCTTGCCCAGGGACACAACAACAGCAGACGTCAGTGGGAGTAGGTGGAGTTGGTCTTCCGTCACACTGTAAACCCTAACTTCAATCCTACTTCAGATATCAAAGTTATTTTAAATAGATTTTTCCCAGTAAGTAGATATTACTCATTTATTGTTAGTTTATTTAAAGATTGCCTATGTCACTCAGGGTTTTCTTTGAATTGAACTGTTTCTGTTCAAGTAAGCCTCACTTTTGACATTTTGATGTGTAGAGTCTTTAATGAGACAGGTATGTGAATTTCAGGGTGTCTTGGTGGCTGAGTGGGTAGCACCATTGCCTCTCTACCACAGGGTTCTGAGTACGAATCCTGGTCGGAACATAAGTAGAAATTTAAACTTTATTGCATCACTCGAGTTTACTTGGTAATATCAAGTAAATGATGTACTCGAGGAATTCAAGTGAAGTTAATACGCAATTTATTTCCATGGTTTTTTCAAGTAAACTTTACTTGTCAGGGTTGACAGTGAGGCCCGAAGACCAATACTCCACCAACTGAGCCACTGTCGCCCCGAATAAAACTCAGTGAACAAATACAGCTGTTGTGCTTGACTATATGTTAAGGTGATTTTGTGATTTGTTTTTAAATGATGAATGAGCAGAGCCATGGTATCATAACTATGGTTTTGAAAAGGTGGATTGAGTCGGGGAGGGGATCACTGAAATGCACGGCCTGATGTGAGTGAGGTTGACTGTACAGGTATAAGTCGACACTATGTTTATGATGGCGCCCAGCTGATTTACAGCAAAAGTTGGAGACATCGGTGTAACTTAAACTTTTTGAACTTTCTCGAGATTGATGATTAAGTAAACAAGTAAGGAATATCATAAATGTGCCATGGCAGCAGAATTAGCATCGCAGCGTACTAAAAGCGTATTTTCCCAAATGTTATTGATCAGGTTATTTATTTATTTGTTTATTTGGATGGGACAGTATGTATTCATGAACAGTAACTGTAAATACACCAGACCTTTTTGCTGTGAACCATAGTGCATGTGAAGTAATTACTTTAAATTGAATTATTAACCCTAACCCTAATTCTAACTGGATTCCAGTGCGTTGCTCTGTAACGTAAGTATATTGACAAAAAAGTTTAATCTTAATCTTTAGGCCTTCAAATGGAGCCCCACTTTCAAAATATCCTTGGACAGAAAAATTGAAAAGCAAACAACAGAACACAAAATACAGTTTGGAATTTATTGGGGACAAACTTTTAAGTAGATTATTAAAAGTCTGTGGCCTTCCTGGGACAGAACAAGCTCTCTTTGTACGATCTGCATCTGGGCGGGGATGTAAGCACAGGTCGATGAACTTAAGGAAGCTGATATAATTTAGGAGAGCTTTAGGTAATGGCAGCACAAGTTTTAGTGGAAAATAAAGGTGACATGGCGTTTTGTTCGGACTATCATAAACTTATTGCGATGACAATCAAAGACTCACATCCACTTCCAGTTGAAGAAGCATTAGACGCTCTATCCGGCTCTGCCTGGTTTTCAACAATGGACTTTCAACATTTCAACAGTGACTGGCTGGAGCTGGAGCTCTTCCTTGGAAGGGCCGTGTCTGAAATCTAGTTGCACCTTTAGTGTGCACTTCCAGCACTTTGAAGAGGTTTTCTCCAGATTCAGATCAAGTAGACTCAAATTGAATCTGTCATGAGAGCAGTGTGCAAAGTTGGCCTTTCCCACAGACGGCAACCGAGGTGAGGGCTTTTCTTGGTCTTTGTTTGTCATGTCGTAAATGTATAAAGGGTTTTGCATACACCATTACATGACCTCACTGCAAAGAAGGCTCCTTTTGTACGGACTACAGAAGGAGCCAAAAAGCCTTTGTCTATTTGAATAGTGCTTTATTAAATCCTAAGTTCTGCCTTCTCATTGCCATTTGTCCTTTATACAGATGCATCATGCACCGCTGTGGGCGCTGTCCTGGGACAGAGACAAGATCAAACAGAAAAAGTGGTGGCTAACGCCATTTCTTTACCAAAAAGCGGTAAAGAAGTGGTTCATAGATTATGGGAAATTTGGGCTATTGTGTGGAGAGAACTTTATTTCCGTCAGTATCTTCTTAAGCATCTATTTGTTATTGTGACGGATCACAAGCTGCTTTTGGGTCTCAGGAAAATCCCTATTGACCATGACAGGACTCAGGCACATGTGCAGTTTGGGTGCTTGAGCTTGACCCATTACTGTCATGTGAATGCATTATGAATACATCACAGGAGCCCATTGCTTTTCTAACCAACACGGTTGAGCCAACTTTTTAATCATTTAATTGTGAACTTGATGTTTGTTCAAACTGAGAAGAGAAAGTGAAACGAAGCAGACCGCCCATTCTCACGCCTACAGCTTTCTGATTGGACAAAGTGAATAAAATTAAACATTATTAGTTTAATTGTTCTTTAACAAATCTTACTGGTGGCAGTTGCATAAAAGGAGATGTCAGCAACTGATGTCGATTGCTGACATCACCTTTAAATAAGTCAGTATGGCAATGACATACTCAACTCAGCCATTTCCATTGTGTAAGATAAAACCCCTTTTAATCAAACTGTTAAAAAGACATGCTGCAAAGGGACAGCTTTGAACAGTGATTATATAAAGCTTTACATCTGCAGCCATTGAATCGTTCTAATCGGTGATCCTCCAGCTGCCCGCTTCCCCGGCACACACAACTGTAGTGGCAGCAGTATTACAGCCACATATCCATAACATGGCCAGAGTAATAATATCGGAGCTGAGCAGTATTAGTGCGCCTTGTGTGAGTCCTGGTCGCGGTCACTGAGCATCCACAAAGCAGCTTCACCTTCCTCTTTATCTCTCTCTCTTTTCCTCCTCCTCCTCTATCTCTTTCATCCTCTCTCTTTCACCTTTGTTTGTTAAAATGCGAGATGTCAAATCATTTGTATAGGGGTAAAATTGTATATTGCAGCTTTGCACACGTCGCCACAGCCAGATGCTGTGTGTGTGGACTGACCGGTAAGGTACTGGAGACTTCGACGATGGTCAAGGGTTCATGTGAGTTCCCCAACCTCTCCTCATCGGGGGGTCCTTTGGGGAGTTCTTTGGGAGTACGGGGTCCCAGTCTCTGTATGACGAGTCAGAGCTGTGTTGCATTGCTGGAAGCAAGTCTGACCTGTTCCGTTCCCAGAGCTGCTGAGCACCTGGAGGAGCTCATTAGCAGAATACAAGACCTGGGGTCTGCAGCCTGTCAGTGTCAGACGGTTTTCATCTGATATTTGGTGGATCTCTGTTGGCTCTAACCTGCTTTGCTAAGTACCTATGTACGTATATAATATTTCTACTGGAAAATAATTCTATCTCTCACATCAAGCTCACCTTTCAGCCTTTACTCCTACTCTAAAAATAATTTGGTTTTTGTTTATAGTCATTGCTTGGCCTGCCAGACACTTCTCTTTTCTATTCAAACTAAGAACTGTCTGGTCAGCTCCTCAACACCGATCATTTCACGATTGAAGGCCAATCACGGACCAAACCATCGCTTCCTTGTTTTGTGTTTACTGACGTGGCTCGGTGCCGCTTCTTGCTACGTCATATCCGGCGTTCCTCTAATTGGCTGATGCACTCAGTCAATCACGCCCACCGGGAAACCGCTGAGATCAAGCCCCTCCCAGACTATATAGTTGAAAAAGCATAAAGTCTGTGGAGGCCAGGCAACTGGAGTCCCTCATTGTGCATATTGAGTTCTAACCTAGAGTTCCATCCATCCATTTTCTTCCCCTTAATCCATTTCTGGGTCAGGGGGGTGGCAGTCAGAGCGGCACCCAGTACACAGAGCACCAGCCCCTCACTGATCCTCCTGCAGGTGCTGAGTCCACAGGATCTGAGATCTTTCAGTGGGGGCTTCAGGCAAAGTGGGGTTAAGTGTCTTGCCCAAGTACACAACGACAGCAGACACCAATGGGAGTCTTGAAGTAGGTCTTGTGGTGGGCTCGAACCCACGACCTTCAGGCTCAAAGGCCAATGCTCTACCAACTGAGCCACTGTCGCCCAACCTAGAGTTCAACTATTTTTTTTCTCTTGTAGAAATAAAAGCTTTACTGCAAAAATGAGAAATAATTATAGATTGTCAGACATTGACATTGTCCACAACTCCCGCTCAAACTCCTTTTTGTCCCTTATCGACCACTGTATTTCAAGATGGTGCATTGACACAGAGAGTCCTCAGCCTCATGGACATTTACAAGTCAAACATGGTGGAGGTTAATATTCTTTAAAAAGGTCACATTTGTTATTAGTGATCTGTCGACATTTATCAACTTGTGAAATTCTAAATGTAATCATGAAATTGTACAGTTTTATATCAAAAGTGTACAAGTCTGAGGTCAAATAAGCAGATGTCAAACTGAGGACAAGAGACAGCTTCCTGTTTTTCAGAAAAGGGATGAGGAAGTAGACTGAGACTCAAACCAGGACCAGAGTTCAGGACTTGGACTAGATTGGACTCAGACCTACAGTAGACCTGGACTGGACTGACGAAGCCACGCCCCCTTCTGCACATTTTACTTATGCTAGATGTGATACTTGTCAGTTGAATAGGAAGAGGGCAGGGACAGGATATAATTAAATACTGTTGATTTTTAACTCTTGAAATCTTGGTCTTATTTCTGTACCAAATCTGAGACACATCCGTCACTTTGTGTGTTTTTTTTCATTTGGAGCACCTGTAAAAAATATACAGAGTACCTTTAACAAAACAAAGTCACTCTCATCAAAGTGTATTATATAAAAAATCAAATACATGCAAATAAGTACAGTGCCTTGCGAAAGGTGGGAGAGTCTGTCCATAGGACAACAATCAGTCGTGCACTGCACAAATCTGGCCTTTATGGAAGAGTGGCAAGAAGAAAGCCATTTCTCAAAGATATCCATAAAAAGTCTTGTTTAAAGTTTGCCACAAGCCACCTGGGAGACACACCAAACATGTGGAAGAAGGTGCTCTGGTCAGATGAAACCAAAATCAAACTTTTTGGCCTCAATACAAAACGATATGTTTGGCGTAAAAGCAACACAGCTCATCACCCTGAACACACCATCCCCACCTCAGCTGTAGTTATCTGCAGTTCATCCAGAATGATCATGGGCCTCTTGGCTGCATCTCTGATCAGTCTTCTCCTTGTTTGAGATGAAAGTTTGGAGGGATGGCCGGGTCTTGGTAGATTTGCAGTGGTCTGATACTCCTTCCATTTCAATATAATTGCTTGCACAGTGCTCCTTGAGATGTTTAAAGCTTGGGAAATCTTTTTGTATCCAAATCCGGCTTTAAACTTCTCCACAACAGTATCTCGGACCTGCCTGGTGTGTTCCTTTGTCTTCATGGTTCTCTCTGCGCTTTAAACAGAACCCTGAGACTATCAAAGAGCAGGTGCATTTATACGGAGACTTGATTACACACAGGTGCATTCTATTTATCATCATCAGTCATTTAGGACAACATTGGATCATTCAAAGATCCTCACTGAACTTCTGGACTGAGTTTGCTGCACTGAAAGTAAAGGGGCCAAATAATATTGCACGCCCCACTTTTCAGTTTTTTATTTGTTAAAAAAGTTTAAATTATCCGACAAATTTCATTCCACTTCACGATTGTGTCCCACTTGTTGTTGATTCATGACAAAAAATAAAAAATTTATATCTTTATGTTTGAAGCCTGAAATGTGGCGAAATGTTGAAAGGTTCAAGGGGGCCAAATACTTTTGCAACATTGCACATTATTCTGACCCAGTCGGTGATATTGGAGCATTTAGAAATAACACACTGGTTGAAAATGCACTGTACTAACTCCCCCCGCCCTGAGGTTATAAAGCAAGAAATATCCACACCATATGCACCCCCTCCCCACACACACACATACACACACACATACTGAGGCCTGGAGCGCTGCAGTCGCCCGGCCGTGATGAGCATCCGGGCTTCTCTCTTGTGACGGGCGCCGGGTGCAGTCGTTTAAAGAGCGTTTAGGACCAGCTCGCGGGGCCTCAGACCGCGGGGCCTCAGCTCCTGCGGGCCGCGCTCACTGCCAAGACCCGGTGCGAAAAGAGACTGGAGGCCAAAAGATGTCACCATTACTCATTTCTTCAATTCATCTGGTCTGGACTTGCCACACACACACACACACACACACATACTATAGACACAAACACAAACGCGCATATACAGTACACACACACACACACACATATACAAGCACACATATAGTCACATACACACACATACACACATATAGACACAAACACGCATATACACACACATACAAGCACACAGACACACACACCCACCACACACACACACACACACATTAAGAGATCCTTTATTCGTCCCACAGTGGAGAAATGTCAGTGTTGCATCACAAGTTATTGAACAGTAGGAAAGAGGAGCACACAGCACAAGTTAAGTGAACGATAACTACACTAATTAAAATAAAACATATTTTTGACAATAAATGGCGTCACACAGCCACTAAAAATGAGTAGAAATTTCAACCTGGGTGAAAAGAACTGGACATGACTGAAGTGGGCGTTGAGTAGTTCTAAAATATATTATTATTCAGCTTTTCCAGTAAATAAATACATATGTTTTTTCTTTTTTTCATTCTTTTGGTCCATCTGAGCGTTTGAACATTGCTTATTCAGCCTTGACTCGGGCCTTGTCCCGGTTTAACCCACTCCCAACACGATGTGATCTGGATGACCCTGTTCCATCCCGTTCCACTTTGGTCCATTGTAGATGTTTCTTTTCTTGTTGTGTGAAGAACGTTGTGTTGCCTTGTGTATGCACTGTGCTATACAAATAAACTTGCCTCAACTTTGATAGATTTGTGTGAAACTCTCCAAAGTGTCCACACTCGTCCTGTGCTCAGCGGAGTGTGCATAACATTTGTCTTTTGTTATTTCTAGCTGCTTTTTCAATGATTTATTAATTTGTTTTGTTGTGAATGGTTGTGTTTCTGCTGCTACTGGACACTTGAAGTTCTCCTACAGGGATCAATATTTTTTACGTTTTTTTAATTATTATTGTTATTTTTTTAACTTTATTTGGCATGGCACAGACTTTGTAAGCAAAACATATTTTTATTTATTTTTATTATTATTATTTTTTTACATATGTATGCTTTATTTGTGGGTATAAAATAATTAGTAATAGTTAATCACAAGTACAGCAAAAAAATAGATATATAGAGTAATAATACTAACATGACACATGGATGCAGGAAAAGGAGTGGGAAGAAGAAACACTTACAGTATGTAATCCCACCTCTAATTACTTCAGTTACATTACTTTGGTAAAGTAAAGGCTTCCTATTAGCTCCAACGTAAATTTATTTTTATCAATAAAGTGTCTGTCTGTCTGTCTATTTACCTATTTATTGACACACGGCACATTTCTCTTCCAGGGGCTGTTTGAGGTCCTCTCCAGCAGGGGCACACTCCTGCTGCTGTGTAGGAGCAGCAGGAGGTTCAGCAGGGGCACACTCCTGCTGCTGTGGAGGAGCAGCAGGAGGTTCAGCAGGGGCACACTCCTGCTGCTGTGGAGGAGCAGCAGGAGGTTCAGCAGGGGCACACTCCTGCCGCTGTGGCGGTGCAGGAGGAGGTTCAGCAGGGGCACACTCCTGCTGCTGTGGCGGTGCAGGAGGAGGTTCAGCAGGGGCACACTCCTGCTGCTGTGGCGGAGCAGCAGGAGGTTCAGCAGGGGCACACTCCTGCCGCTGTGGCGGTGCAGGAGGAGGTTCAGCAGGGGCACACTCCTGCCGCTGTGGCGGAGCAGGAGGAGGTTCAGCAGGGGAACACTCCTGCCGCTGTGGCGGAGCAGGAGGAGGTTCAGCAGGGGCACACTCCTGCCGCTGTGGCGGAGCAGCAGGAGGTTCAGCAGGGGCACACTCCTGCCGCTGTGGCGGAGCAGCAGGAGGTTCAGCAGGGGCACACTCCTGCCGCTGTGGCGGAGCAGCAGGAGGTTCAGCAGGGGCACACTCCTGCTGCTGTGGCGGAGCAGCAGGAGGTTCAGCAGGGGCACACTCCTGCCGCTGTGGCGGAGCAGCAGGAGGTTCAGCAGGGGCACACTCCTGCTGCTGTGGCGGAGCAGCAGGAGGTTCAGCAGGGGCACACTCCTGCTGCTGTGTAGGAGCAGCAGGAGGTTCAGCAGGGGCACACTCCTGCTGCTGTGTAGGAGCAGCAGGAGGTTCAGCAGGGGCACATGGCTCCACATGCATCAGGTCAGTGAATTATGGATGTCTTATGAATCATTGACTCCAAGCGCTCCTTTTTAGGTGCTCTGCCTCCCTCTAACAGCAGAGCCAGGCCAAATATGTCTGTACAGCAACAAAAATGTGTGTAAAAAAAACACATGATTATTTTTGTTCATTAAAAGCGATAATGAGAGTTAATGTATTTTAGATTTACATATTTTCATGGCTTAGAATGAGAAACAATATCTGAGTAGTGGATAATATATGGTGAAACAAGGAGGAAATGCAAAATATGCTTTATATGTCCTGTCCCTGTGATATCTCTCTCTTTTAAATTTGAAAAGAATTGTAAAGAATATAATGTGATGAATAAAACCTGACAAATTAGCAACAGTAGGTTTATGAGAAATGAGCTTTTGAGACACACAGGTTCATTCAATCACTGCAGAGGTAAAGATGCCTCGTATTTATCAAGTTAATTCTCATATTGTAGTTCCCATGTAGATAGATAGATACTTTATTGATCCTGAAGGAAATTGTGCACTGGTCCCTTGCTCGCAATCATAGAAACATACATACATAGGTTAGAATTAAAAGATGCAAAATAGTTAAAAAAGAGACAATAAATACATTAAAAACATTAAAAGAGAAGTTAAGGCACTGCAAAACAATTCTCAAGACCCCTCCCTCCTCCCCCCTGCTCCTCCCTGAAGTGGCTTTGTTATAGAGCCTGATGGCTTTGGGGTTTTTTAGTTTTTTAGTCTGTCCCTGGAGCACCTCAGAGAGAGGAGTCTGGAGCTCATGGTGCTTCTCTGGCGGGAAAAAAATGAATTTAGTGGGTGGCTCTGGTTGGACAAGATCTCCCTGATCTTGGAGAGCGTTCTTTGCTCTACCACCTCCTCCACTGAATCCAGACCCAGACCCACCACAGAGCCCGCCTTTCTAATGAGCCGGTTCAGCCTCTCAGTGTCCCTCTTTCGTGCACTGCCCCCCCAACAGACAACTGCATAAAAAAGGTCACTAGACACAACAGACTGATAAAACATGTAGAGAAGCTTATCACAGACCCTGAAAGATGCCAATCGCCTCAAAAAGTACATCCTACTCTGCCCCTTCTTGTACACAGCGTCCATGTTGGCTGCCCAGCTCAGCTTGTTGTCCAGCTGCAGCCCCAGGTGGAAACCACTTCCACCACAGACCCCTCGATAATAATGGGCTGCAGAGAGGGTGGTGCCCGGCGAAAGTCCAGCACCACCTCCTTAGTTTTGGCTGAGTTTAAAAGAAGCTTGTTCCGCTGGCTCCACTCCACAAAGTTCTCAACCAAGCCTCTACTCCCCAAAATAGTTTGGGGAGTATAGAGGTATGTTCTCAAAATAGTTTAACAATTGCACTTGGCTCCATTCACATTCTCTAGAGCACAGATGGAAAACACAGGGAGAAAACTGCGGTAGGCTGTAATACGACCAATCTCCAGCCAATAAAATTAAGTTTGGTTTCTTAGCTTCTTAAAATAGGCCCATAATACATTCAGCGTTAGGATCTACAGCCTGAGTCCTGGATCTACAGCCTGAGTCCTGGATCTACAGCCTGAGTCCTGGATCTACAGCCCGAGTCCTGGATCTACAGCCCGAGTCCTGGATCTACAGCCTGAGTCCTGGATCTACAGCCTGAGTCCTGGATCTACAGCCCGAGTCCTGGATCTACAGCCTCAGTCCTGGATCTACAGCCTCAGTCCTGGATCTACAGCCTCAGTCCTGGATCTACAGCCTCAGTCCTGGATCTACATCTACAGCCTCAGTCCTGGATCTACAGCCTCAGTCCTGGATCTACATCTACAGCCTCAGTCCTGGATCAACAGCCTCAGTCCTGGGTCTACAGCCTCAGTCCTGGATCTACAGCCTCAGTCCTGGGTCTACAGCCTCAGTCCTGGATCTACAGCCTCAGTCCTGGATCTACAGCCTCAGTCCTGGATCTACAGCCTCAGTCCAGCCTGCTCATTCATGGAAGCAGATCCCTCTCAATGTGGGCCTCCTGTGGTTTCCAAATGTTTTTCACACATGACTTTCTTTCTTTTTTTTTGACTCATTCCTTGTCGATGCCGGAGCATGTACGATCCGGGACATTTAAGGATATTAACATTTATTAACATGGTCCAATGTGTTTCTTATTACTGCATTTCGTGTGTTCAAAGTGTTTGATTCACTGATTGGTTTTTGGAAAATCAACAACTTCAAACACATTAGGCCAAACTGCTGCGTGTGGCCTCCTGGCTCCCTCTGGCCTCTCTGTGGAGATGTGGGGCCCCTTTTACAGAATCACCCACTTCCTGCTGGCGGCGCTTGTGCCCATGGTCTTGTGTTGTCTTCTTTGACGGTACATCGAGGCCACACCATGAAAATCCTTTTATTCTCCAACCGACAAACTCATTACTACTAGTGCCAAGTCCAACTAGTGCCAATAGGTTGCGTTCACTGTGGTTAAAAACAAAAAAAATGTTTGTTGAATTTGATATAACAAGGTAAACTCCAATGGTTCATCTACACCCAGTGTCTCCAAACGTTTTCACCCAGAGAGCTACAGCGAGCTACTCCTTTAAGCAGCTCTGAGAAAAATGTGGCAATATATTGGTGTGAACAAGCCCAATATCGGGTACATTCATTTTCTATCATCGCATATTTGTTACTAGTGCATAAAGTAAGTGTATTTACAATAATAGATAATGAAAATGAATTTAAAAAATCTGAAATATGAAGTATATCTTTTGATTTGTTCATTTCTAAATCCTGTGGCGTGCTACCTGGGAGCGGGTGGCGAGCTACTGGTGGCTCACGAGCTACAGGTTGGAGGCCCCTGATCACACGAGGGTGGACTGACGCCAAAGCCACAGGACAACAAAGGCCATAGGAAGCTACAATGTGGAAGACTAACATTTGGGGCTATAAAGATGAATTATGGAAGTGAACAAGCTCAATCTTACATGTGATCCCAAATTCTCACACAACCCTCTCCTCCTGTGCTCCTGATGGATCACGCAATACATTTGTACGCTGTGATGTCATCTGAAAACTGTTTTTGAGCTTGTACGGCACATGTGTCAAAGTCAAGGCCCGCGGGCCAAATCCGGCCCGCAAATGAATTTTACATGGCCCGTTGACTATTACGTCAATTGCGTTTTCCGCTATTTTCATGTTCCCAGATGTCTATTATATCTAATATGTTTGGGGATAAGCTTGAGAGCATATTGAATCGAGCCAGCAGGTGGCAGCAGCGCTCTCTGAATGGTTTGAAAACAGCTAGATGCACTTGTTGTGCCTCTTTTTTTCTCAGCTTTTTGGTGATTTCAGTAAAACTTCCCTCTACTCAACTGGGGATTACAAGCTAGAAACAAAATTATTTTTGCTGATGAAAGTAGACAGTCTATTCTTTCAGAATCTGGTTTCGGATTTCAGATCATAGTCATAGTACACAATATTCTGTGGGTCTTGAAAAATCTATAAAAATCATCAGAAACTGCTGGCAATATGGCAAGACCTTTTCTGAAATAGGCTGGCAGGCAATGAGGTAATAAACATTGAACCAGTCCGGCCCTCGGCTCACAGCAAATTTTGTTTTTTTGGCCCTCTGATGTATTTGACTTTGACATGCCTGTTGTACGGTGACTGGAAATGCATAATATTATTCACACCAACATGAATGTGATCTACTTCGACTCATCTCAACTCAACCCCAAAAAAGTTGAGAATCTTTATTTCGATCCCATTCCACGGCCATCTCCTTGGGGTCAATTCTTTACATACATTATTGTCCGTTCAACAGTACATATAGTGGATCTCAATAGTCAAATCTCACCAGTGAATGCTTTCAGTTTAGTGCAGGCGCTGTCCATTGTGCTGAAGTTATTCTCATTGTTTGCCGTAAATCTGCTCTCTGTAAACGATCTTTAAATGTGCACTTTGAAACTATATGGCTACTGCTGTGCCAACAATGCTCCAATGAATATATATATATTTTTTTTGAAGTTTGAAGTGTGTTGATTGATGAAAAATACCTATAATACCTATATAATCATTTGCTCCTCATTTTGGAGAGAACCAAAAGAAGGACCACATTCACAGACCATTGCATTTCCTCTTCTTGGATATGATCTTGAATTAAAATAGTGCAAAGCTATATATAGACATTTTCTATCTATTTATTTGGGGGCATTTCTTCAAGAGTGTCTTGAGCCTTTTTTGTGAGAGACGTAGTTGTTGAGGCATAATTAACATTACATAAATAAACATACACATTTACTGTAGGGTTTCCGTCTCAGTCCCGTAAAAGTATATTGTCATTGTCCCACTGTAACGTGTCTCATTGTCATTTTAAAATCCATAAATATGTGTAATGTTCCGTACTCGGGTCAAAAATACCCACCACAGATTAGGGTCTAAAAAGGTCTATATGACTATGTTTTTAAAAAATATATATTTAGGGTATTTCTAACCCTAACCCTAACCCACGTCTCTTAAGTCTACTATTTGTGTGACGAAGAACGGCCCTCTTTGGTGCTTCAGTTGATTGACAGGTGGATTAGCCAATCGCAAGTGTTTATGTTCCAGGTTTAAATGACAGCTAATTCGGGCTAATCCGGGTGCGTTATAAAAAAGTGAGAAGTGGTTGGACTGAAGTCACAGAAATGAACCCTGCTTTTCTTGTACACAGTTTATACGGCTATTAGAACATATGTGAATTGCAGGTATATGTTTAGGCCCATTTGAATGTATGCTCCTTTAAGTGCTGCTAAGAGCTAATATGCTAACAGTGTGCGCAATGTTTTTGGTGTGCTATTCTCATGTACATAATGCGTTTGATAAGTAGCTCATTCTAATTTAGATTTTCTCTGTTATTTGCAGGACCACACACACACACACACACGCAGACCCACAAAGATATACTGTAGATACCTGCTGTAAAGAACTTTTAATAAACCAAAAACAAACCAGACAAACTTGCTCTCCCCACGACAAAACATGACAACTGCCTCCACATGACCAACAGTAAACAAACACACAAACATAGGCCTTCTTTACAGCAGCAGGAAGTCTCTCTACAGTGGAAGACGAGCCACATCATGTCTCTCCTTCACTGGACATTTAAGGTGGTGCCGCTCATCGATCCTCTCTGTTTGGATGTGAATTATTAATTTGCCGGGTCACCCTTAAAACCTCTGCGCTCTGATCATTTCCCATTCACAAATACGACTATTTGCGTTTGTAGTCGATCAATGAGGCGGTGGAACAGACGTGAGGGAAATGTGTCCTCAGGGAGCGGTGGTAGCGGCTCAAGGGGCTTTAAAGTAAATTCACAAACGTCCATGAAGCATATTAAAGGAGACGTGTGTTGGTGGGAGTCAAGTATTAAAGTAGAAATATGTAAGATTTTCATTAAATGGCCCTAATAGTTCAAAAGTCATTACCTGATAACAGTAGTTCAGAGATATTCGAATCTCAAAATTAGTTTACAGCCCCTCAATCTTGTTATTGTTTTCATTTCGATGTCCCGCCCCCCACTGTTTCCCCAATCAGAAAGTCCGTGATCCGAGCGCCAGAACTCACCACGCCAAGCTAATCTCACTGGTAAGTATCATGTGGCCACAGAACTAAAAACGGTTCTGTTATGATTCTCAAATCATGAACAACAAATCAAGGAATAAAACCAGGATTTCTGTTGAGGCCTTTGTGAAAAAAAGTGTTGGTTATAGATTTGTTGTTGACTAAACTTGTCTATTCAGATGTTATGGTCCCAGCTGGAGTCGTCTGCATATCTGGCACATTTCTGCCCATAATGATAGTGATACTTTATAATTTTCTGTTTTAGAATGTTACATTTTATCTACCTGTGCCACCACCACAAAAAAAAAAAACCTAATTTCACTTGAGAAATGTCCAAAAGTAAAGTATAAAGAATATATATAGCTAAAACAGCCAAGCATGTAATTTCACCAAAGAAATTGCCAAAGCTTTGCTTCAGTCACTATTTGTATTTTTGACATCTGTCACGTCTTTAGATCAACTTTTTCAGACAGAAAAGTGACAAAGATAAACCCTCAACTGTGGGACTCTCACTTTAGACCAGAATGTGTAATAATAAGAGGATTCCACAAAAATAAATTGTGATATGACGAAATGTGGAATGACATTTGTAACAGATATTTTTCTTCATTAAACCTTTTTATAGAACTGTCTTCTACACAAGAGCTCCATGTGTCTCATGTGAAACAGAAATCAAATGAAAGGTATGGCGTAAATGTGCACGCGTAAAAGGCTAAACGCGTCTGTGATGTGTTGGCAAAAGCACCTTTACTAGTGTGAGCGAGACTACTGCTGCTGCTGCTGCTACTGCTGCTGCTGCTGCTACTGCTGCTGCTGCTGCTGCTGCTGCTACTGCTGCTGCTACTGCTGCTGCTGCTGCTGCTGCTGCTGCTGCTGCTGCTGCTGCTACTGCTGCTACTGCTGCTGCTGCTGCTACTGCTGTGCTACTGCTGCTGCTGCTGCTGCTGCTGCTGCTGCTGCTGCTGCTACTGCTGCTGCTACTGCTGCTGCTGCTGCTACTGCTGCTGCTACTGCTGCTACTGCTGCTGCTGCTACTGCTGTGCTACTGCTGCTGCTGCTGCTGCTGCTGCTACTGCTGCTGCTGCTGCTACTGCTGCTGCTACTGCTGCTACTGCTGCTGCTGCTGCTACTGCTGTGCTACTGCTGCTGCTGCTGCTGCTGCTGCTGCTGCTGCTGCTGCTGCTGCTACTGCTGCTGCTGCTGCTACTGCTGCTACTGCTGCTGCTGCTGCTGCTACTGCTGTGCTGCTGCTGCTGCTGCTGCTGCTGCTGCTGCTGCTACTGCTGCTGCTGCTGCTACTGCTGCTGCTACTGCTGCTACTGCTGCTGCTGCTGCTACTACTGCTGCTACTGCTGCTGCTGCTGAAGAAGAGGAGGAGAGAGAAGAGCCTGTTTGGAGTTTCTGCGCGGGAGGGGCGGAGGAGAAGGAGAGTTCTCTTCGTCCATTAATTTCCAAATGTCTGTTGCTAAGAATAGCCTCCCGCTCTCCCTCCACCTTCCGTCACACACACGCACACGCACGCACGCATATGGGCTGCAGCAGGACGTATGCGCATCCAGGCTCTTCCACCGAAATTAGTGCTACATTTGATGTTGGCGTGAGCGTGAGCGGTGCCGGAGCCAGTGCATGTCACCGGTCATGACGTGCAGCTCCAGGGCAGGGCTCTGCACAAACACACGGGAGAGTGTGCGTGACGGCTGCGTCTGGAGTTGGACGGAGCGCGTGCGTCAGTGCTGCGGGTGGAGAGGCAAAGAAGACCCCCCCCCTCGCCACACATTCTATATGATTTAATTTCATGCAAATTAAGATACACAAAAACACACATATTACAGAATGCAAATCCTGAGATGAGAAGTGCAGCCCTGTTTAATTTAGCTCTCTGTTATCCAATAACCCACCCCCCTCTCTCTCTTTTCTCCAACGCACACGTACACGCACGCACGCACACACGCACATCGAGCCCAGAGGAGCTGAGGAGCAGAGACGAGCAGAAAGGAGTGAAGGTCCTGCACGGCGAGACAGCGCAGGACACCGGGGCTCATCAGTGCGGACCGCGGGGAGAGCAGTGGGGCGGGGATGGAGAGGGAGCTGCACCTACAGCCCTGCGTTCAGTCACGGAGACACGATGAGGCGGCCGCGCTCCCTCTGCCTTTGACGACACGGCGGATGTCCCCACTCTGCTCCTGATGCAAGCGCAGGTGACGAGCGGCAAGAGGAGGACGTGTGAGAGGAGGACGTGTGAGAGGAGGACGTGTGAGAGCAGCGGACTGTCCACGGCGGACACCATGAGCGCGACGCATCGCTGGAGTGCGGTATTTTCTGTCTTCTCTTTCAAATAAGACCACGACTGTCACCTCGCGTGTTTTTCCTTCTCAGCGGCCGATGGTGGAGCCTCCAGTGCCACTCTCTGTAACAAACATTGCGGATGTTTCAGAAATAAATAAATAATTGCCGTTTTTTCGTCTTTGAGTGGCATGTTTTGTTGAAAATGACAAGTGGCCATCTCTGATTCTGTCAAGACAACAGGCTGCTGATGTGTTTTTGGACAATCTGTTTCACTGACGCCCGTTCTTCTGGACATGACATTTTTACTGGAGCGAAAGCATGAGCCATGGACAATATGAAACATTCATGTCTGCGGGATACAGCCTCTGGATGCTTTTATGTTGTGGCCAAATCGTGCGTGTGACGGACCGCCGAGCGGACACAGCCCCCAGCCCCTGTGTGTAGACTGCTCTCATCTGCCCCAGCATCAGCTCACATGGGCGGCCTGCTCCAGTGAATCAGCCGCAGCAGCCTCTGCCTCAACAACACTTGTGCACATGAGCCGTGCGGATCCAGATGGGATGTAATGTTGTGTGGCCGCACAGCTGCTTCTCCGCTGCTTCGTGAAGACCGCCCCCGGCTTTGGCTCTGGCTTTGGCTCTGGCTCTGGCTCTGGTGTAAAGGATGGCGCGCTTTGGAGACGAGGTGCCGGCCAGGTATGGCGGCGGTGGTGCGGGAGGCCGCGGTGGCAGCAGGCAAGGAGGACCGCACGGGCACGGTCACGGACACGGACATGGCCACGGCATGCACGGACACGGGATGCACGGCCACGGGCCCCCCGGAGGCCCCGGGGGCCAGAGAGTGTACAAACAGTCTATGGCGCAAAGAGCGCGGACTATGGCCCTGTATAATCCCATCCCCGTGCGTCAGAACTGTTTCACTGTCAACCGCTCCCTCTTCATCTTTAGTGAAGACAACTTTGTGAGAAAATACGCCAAAAAGATCACCGAATGGCCATATCCTTTTCACTGAGTGTTGAGTGTCATGCAGCTGTGCCCAGGCCTCTGGGGACCAGGTAGGCCCCTAGTACATGCACCCTGTTATGTGACACGTAGCTGTTCACTAGTGAACATGTATCAGCATCGACGCGGGGAATACGGAGAACAGATTTATAGTTAATTAACGCGGGGCCGTGAACTAACAGCACTTTTTACGAGGCTGTAGATCTCTATCAATCACATCTGTTTGTTGTTCCGTGTCACGGTGGAGTTGGGACCTGCTTGATATACGCACCTTGTGCGTGTGATAGTCCACGTCTGTTGGTGTTTTAGCGTGCGTGTGTGTGTATGTGTGTGTGTGCTTATGTCAGCATGTGCTGTGTCGAGCATACACAGAGGTACAGAGGAATGGAGAGCAGAGCAGAGGGAGAGGGGGAAGGGAGGAGGAAAGGTGAGAAGATGAGAATAAGCGACAGTAGTTGTGCGGCTGCTGTCAGAGATGTGCAGGTGTTGAACGGGCAGCTCTGGACTTTACTGCTCCCTCCTCTTCTTATTAGAAATCTCTACCACAGCTCATATCAGATGCTTGTTAAAGTATACATCAACTTCATAAATGTTATTTAGTAAAACCATCAAGCTACAAACCATGGAGGACATGTGTGTGAGCAAATGTAAAGAGGAGGCTTCTGTGTTTTTATGGTGAAGTGTGAAAGCCGCTTCTGTCAGATAGAAACCCTCTGTTGGACATGTTGCTATTGGTTGTCATGCAGTGATTCCAGTCTGCACTTCGGTACAAACCTTATATGAACAAATATGGAATCAGAATCACAATTATTTTCATTCTCATTGTAAGTTACAGAAACAAACTGTTACTTTGGCTCATGGCACAGACCGCAGATGCATCAGTGTGAGTACAGAGCAGAAGTATGTTGTTGTCAGCCACTTATGATCAGTGCAGTAGTTGTGAGTTTAGGGCTGTGGTGGATGTGGTGACCGTTCAGGATGTGTGTTTACGTTAAATGGTGTTTCACTTTTAACAGTAGTCATTGCGTTATATTCACAAACACTCTTTACCCTCACCTTTCTTTAGCTTTTCATTTATTTAAGAAGAAAGTCACTGTTCAGCCATTTTATCTGGCAACACAAATATGAACAATGTTAAATGGTGTGTAACATTGACGGCAACACAATTACACTTAACCCTAACCCTGGACTTATTTAGCAAGAGAGAAAATAATTCCAAAACGACAATTTGAGTGATGAAGGCGGGGCAATGCAGCTGTGATTTTAGGGAAAAGCTAAATGCCTAATCTATTGTAGTTTTATGACGAACTGGGCGCTAACGTATCGCTGTGCTCCATTCATGCGTGTGTCATGATGCTCCTGTTGTGGACTTGGATTTACGGTCATGAAATGTGTAGCCACCTTGTGTTGTTACATCACCGGCTCATAAATAACACAGCCTTGTGACCCGGGTCTCCTCGGGGTCCAGAAATGCAATCTCCAACATCGACTGCTCTGGTGAACTTTGATCCCGAGTCCCGGCTTTGACCTTGTCCCATATATTTGTGAACGCACCTTAGTGGATCATTTGAAGCATTGGTTTCTGTGTATTAAACAACAAAAAAGCATTTGTTGTTTAAATGCTCATCCCCTTCCTTTATTTTAGCTTGATATTTTCTTTTGTGGTTTTAAAGTTGAAATATTTGGAAGGTTTTGGCCATGACATAACCTCCAGCTCAAGCACATGCAGGTTCTCTATTTAGATTCATTCATTCATTTTTTTGTCTCTTTAATTATTCCTTGCTCTGAGCTCGAGTAATGTCCCGTACATTCAGGTCGTGAGTAATAATCTCGATATCTCCTGTTTGAAGAGCATGCACCAGAGTTGGCATATTCCATCCATTCTTCTAAAGACAGTGTCAGCAACTTAAATTGTGTTTAATTCTTGCAAGAATGTGTATTTACAGCCAAGGAATACTCTTAATATTATGCACAGTAAATATTTCCCATAACGACACAATAGTATCGTTAAGATCTTCCCTCTGTTTAAAGTGAACATCAGGTACTTTTTGATGATCCGCTCATAATCACCTCTGCAGCCTCCTGATTGGATGGAATTTAATCAATTAATTTCAATCATCCCTTGTGATTGGTTTAAACATTTGTCTCCAGTAAATTTTACTGAGTGTAGTTATGTTGATTGTCGGTCCTGTAATCTCAACATGAGTCTAAAAAGTGCATTTGTCATACATGAGCAGATTAATGTGGCCCGTGTTCTGCGGTGGTTTGTAATGTGGACACACTTAAATTGTGCTTTGCTCTGGTGTAAGTAGAGATGAAGTCAATACAGACTGGAAGTATTGATTGTAATGTTTATCCCTGCCAGAAATATATCAGAACCAATGTGCTGTCGAAAGGACCCACTAATCTTTATATTCTCATAATAAAACACAAGTATTTTCTTATTTTCTTAGTTCTTGATTGCTAAATTGGAATATCATCTTGAAATGTATATAAACAGGTGTGTTTTCAATTCTTTATTGGTAATAGTTCCAAGTTATTCTGACAAAAATAATAATAATTAGTCTGAATTACTGCCACACATCAGACTCGGCAGACTCACACAGGTGTGTGTTTCTCCTGAGGAGTTTACAGCTGCAGCCTCCTCACCACCCCTTCACACCCGCTCTTCCAAGAGGTCTCCCATCACAATACTAACCAGGCGCTGCCCTGCCTAGCTTCTGTGATGTTTAGGAGTGAAGATGCCGGTGGCTTCAGTAACTATGGTTGTGTTTTCAACCAATCTATTTTGTTAATCCAACCGAGGCCGAATTGGTTAATCTGAACAATACACAGTCAATCCAACTAATATCAGTTTAACACATTTGGATACGTGTTTTTAAGGTGTCAATTTAAGACTATAACAGTCTCTATATCCGCACAATAAACCCATCGATCAAATGTTGTTCTCAAATTAGCTTCAGTGAGCCCTTTTTCATGGAGACAATCCATCCCACCTCACAGGAGTCACTCACATTCTGATGACAGCCTGGTCCCACACTGCTGCTTTGGCTCACGACAATACACACTTCACTTTAAGACAGTTTGCACTTTTTTGGGTGGTCTCCGGTGAGAAAAGCAGTCATGATCTAGTGACACACATTTGTCTCACTGTGTGACGCTGATCAGGTTTGGATTGTGCCTGTGGAATTGTTGTGTACTGAAACTGGAACAAGTTCATATATGTGCTGATTTAATATTAAATACAAAACAATGCAAATGATGGCTTATTATGTTTCTCATGGTCTCAAGCTGATTATCCGATGAGGAAACAGACACACATAATAATAATAATAATAATGCATCGGTTTTATATAGCGCTTTTTTGGACACTCAAAGACGCTTCACATGTGTCATTATTCATTCACTCCATACACGGTGGTGATAAACTACTACTGTAGCCACAGCTGCCCTGGGGCACACTGACAGAAGCGAGGCAACCAGTCTGTGCCATCGGCCCCTCCGACCACCACCAACCATTCACACACACACCAGACTCATTCTAGGCAATGGGGGTGAAGTGTCTTGCCTAAGGACACAACGGCAGCACTTTACAGCCGCAGCCGCCCCACTGTGGCTGGTGTTCCCAGAGGTTAAGTGTCTTGCCAAGGACACAACGACAGTAGTCAGTGGGAGTCGATGGTGAAAGTCTTGAGCGGGGCTTGAACCCACAACCTTCTGGCTCAAAGGCCAACGCTCTACCAACTGCCGCCCTACATGTCTTTCAGGTTGCTATTATTTGGTGAGCTCAGAGGCTTTGTGTATGTGGGTGCTTTGCAAAACGGACACATTGAGGAGCAGATAAAGTATTATAGTATAGTGTTGTGTGGTGGTTCTAGTAAATCCAAAATGGGAATACGACTGTGGACTACAATCAGTCCATCCTCATCGGGAATAACGACGTCTCAAACTGTCCCCGGCTGATCTCTTTCCTGCGATCAGTGACTTTTGCTGCTCATGTAACTCTGCCGCTAATACCTGATCCACATGAACCAAAATCAATAAGATCAAATGCCTCTCCCGGCTCCTTGTGTCTCGCAGAAGCTCAACGGCAACACATGCTTTTTCTGCCTTACACAATACTTTTATATACATCTTTCTGATTGTTGGTACTCTGTTTACGTCCCTGAAAATACTGTCGCCTCGTCAGAAATACCTGTGTTTTTAGTTTATTCATGAGAGTTTGAGGCAGTCTCTTAAGAAGTTGAAATGTCTGATTCTGCCATGAGCTGTATAGTTTTAGAAGCATCATGACAGGATTACAGTCTGAGCTTGATCTAGTTCAATGGATCTACAGTCGCTCTTCCCTCAGATTGAGAGTCGAGCCAATCCGCTTCCAGAGAAGATGCATCGCAACCGAAGAAACAAAATTATCATTCATTGAACAAAAAAGTGTCTCGTTGACAGAATTTAGCTGAGAAATGTGTGAAATGATCGCAGTCTGAAACCTTGTGGTGAGCAACACAACTTTTAATTGCGGGAATATCAATAGTTACAAACATTTCTTTAATATTAAGAGAAACATTGACTCCACCTTCTCAAAGACAAAACTAAATAACAGAAAAAGATTAAGGTTTATTCTTCCCTCAGTGAGGAACTACAGCAAGGTTAATTTAGTTTGAATGAGGTAAATGATATGTCCCCATCTTTTATATCAAAGTGGACTAACTGAGAATTTGCCATTAGCATTGGGGAGTTTAGATCCAACCTCCACCATCCAAGTCTCGAGTATCGCTGGCTAAACTGCGACAAGATTCAACATTAGGAATTAAATAACCAGTTTGTTGAGGATACCAGCCCTTTCATGTTATTGATGCATTCATTACATTAGAAATAGAAACGGCCTTCAACCTGTCAATCATACCTGTTATGCTACCTGTCCCTATTAGCTTCCTGATAGGTAAAATCTGGATTTACACAGACATAAAAGAAAGCAGGCCAATCTAGAGCTTCTTTATAGTAGTAATAACA